ACATGCTTTGGGGTGGGGGACACTTTAATTAAAGTAGCTCTCAGGAGCCTCTCTGATTTAAAGTACCCTCAATATCTTGTGTATTCAGTGTCCCACACTTCAAAATGGCAGCAGGGGCACTTTGGGTAGGGACAGACACTCAAAAAGCCTGAGCCTGATTCTATCTTTGCAGGTTAGTCTGACCTGCCTAGGCTGAACCAGTTTACAACTGTTTAGGCATTCCCTCCGGACTGAGGAAATGCCGACACATGCCTGCAGTGGCTCAAGCTAGAAGCTGGGGGGTATTAGAGCAGCCCTCCCTTCCTTTACACAATGCTGAGCTGAGCGGGGACTGGCCAGGCCCTGCCAGGACACTCTGATTAGGGAGGGATGTAAACCCCCACCCTGCCTGCTCAGTCTCAGGCTCTTCCCCATTTGCTGCTGAAGGCGTGGGAGTGTTGCCAGCCCCAGGCTAGCACTCTGAGGCAAACGGGGTGTGTGCTGTGCATACATCTGTTGATGATACTGAGCTTTTCAATCTCCCTCTCCCTGCTTTGTCATACTGTCTGCAAACTTGACAGGGAGGGAGCCAGCAAGGGGCTGATAACACAGCGTTATCAGCCCATCGACAAAAAAGCCTCTCTTATTAGTTCAAGCTCTTCTTAAACAGCTTTTTCCAAAGAAGGAACAAACAGACATTACCTGCTGAACTGCTGATTACCTCCAAAAAGCCCTAAGTGGACACTGGTCTGTCTGCCTGTCCCAGTTAAAGTGAAAACACACACATGCCTACCTCTCAGCATTAGCTAGCATACCACATGCCTGGGGTCTGTGGGGCTGGGGTCCATGCTGTGCGAGATGGGAGGGGAAGGATCCCTGCTTGAGCAGCAAGTGGCAGGGTGAGCCAGGCAGACCCTGCTGTGCCTACAGTCTCCGCTGGAGCTCTGGCTAGGGAGCAGACAGGTGGGACTAGTCCTGTTCTCTGGGGTAGACAGCACAGCCCAGGGCTACAAAGCACCTGGGATGCTGGAGGACTCTGGTGTAACTTAAACCAGGAAGGGACAGGCATTGCATAAACCAGTTTAATCCAAATCAACTAAATCTGATGCTACATTCAAAGATTTATCTTAAACCAGTTTCAGCCATTTTGAAACTGGTTTATGTGCACTGAACATATGTTCTCTTACAGGTTTAAACCAGTTTCTGATCACTTAAACCAGTTTCTTTGTATTGTCTCTCCTTAGCCTTTAACTAAAGCTCATTTGACACATTTTAGTTAAAGCACCCCCACCACCATTTTGGAGTGTAGGGATGCTGAATACACGTGATGCTGAGGCTGCTGAAGCATGCTAATTAGCATGCTCCTGCAGACTCAGTTAAACAAGTCTGCTCCACCATATGCTATTTAGCATGTGTCAGAGCAGGCATCAGGCATGTGTATAGGTGCCCTTTGGTTGGCTCACATACATTTAGAGACCTAAAGCAGATAGCTTTATAATCAGGTAAATAACATACTCATTGGACCATGGGATTGTAGGTTGACTATCCTCTTCAAAATGTCCTTTAATGTTTTTGAAAAAGGTAAATTGCATAATAAATCTTCTCTTAGCTTCTCTGTATTGCAAAACTTGCTCTGTGCATTCTTTTCAGTTGCAGTTTAAATGCAGGACTCTCTATAAGGGAAAAACTCAAGCTGAGGCACACGCAAATCTTACTCATGGAGGAAATTTTAAATGCTGTCAGATTCTTCCCTTTTTCATCAGTAACATCTTCTGCCATTTTTGTTTCGGAGGACATCTCTATTTCTAGTGTGAATCACTTACAATAATCAAAATGAAGGCACACCAGATTTGTATAGCATCATCTTGGAAGCAATGTGAGTTCCATAAAAGAGATTTGCTTTAAGGTGGCACTGTCTGCTGCAGGGTCAGATTGCAGATACATGACAGATTCAGTCAGAAGGCCCAAGTGTCCACCAGTTTGGGAAGGGCTGGCCTGGATGCAAACGTTACTGGTTACACCTCTGGTAGGGTAGGATCCATATTATATGAATCCAGATGAAATTTTACCAGGACACAGCATATCTGGAAAAGGAACCCAATTTGCAGACTGGTATTCACAGTTGCTCCCTAACTTTTGTGGCAAGCATCATCCTGGGTGTCCCTAGAGACTGAAAGTAAGTTACCATAGCTGGAGCTAAAGACCAATTTACAGATCCAGAACATGTAGTAGAGTCAGCTTTTCTGAGTGAGGCAGAAAAGAGAGTATGAGCATGCCATGGGCAGAGAGGTGGAAGCATCATACTGGCCATTATGCAGTAGATCCCTGATCGATACCTACTCTCTCTTTGCCTCCCTCAGATGTTGTAAATAAAAAGGAATCCTGACTTTGGCTCAAGATGATTTCTTTCCCACCTTTATAAGGATCGCTAATTGCTTCTTCTGGATTATTACTTGGCTTGGAAAAAAAAATCTGCTCATCCAACACTTAACAGCCATTACATTTACAGGAAAAATTCACTTCTCTGGCTGCTGTCCCTAGCATATCACCAGTGTTTAGCCAAATGAACCCCAAGGGTTATAAACACAAAGATGCTGGTGACTGTGACAGGCAGAAAGAAATATGCTGCCAGGGATTAATTTGCATGTTCCATTTCACAGCCTGCACCTGGTTTCCTGTTCAGGGAGGCTCCCCACACCTGCTAGCCACCCTCTTTTAAGGTGCAAGAGCTCTCAAAACTTTCCATCTCTTCCTTTCCTCCTGACTGCCAGCCAAAGGTTGTAATAAACAGACACTTTTTAATAGCAATGAAAATAAAAGTCCTCTTTTATGTGCAGTCATCAATTTAAAAATATAAGCAAGCTTTGTCAGGTGCTGTTCTGCTTCCTCGATGCGGCACTTCACCACTTAGCAGGCACAATGAAATTGCTCCAAAGGGGACAGTACCCAGAGTGGAGTGGTCTCGAGGGGATCTCCACTGCAGCCTGCTTGCTGTGACACATCTTCTGTGCTGCCCCATGATGTGTCTTCTGCATGGTGCTGGGGGCACCTTGGGAAAACTTGCACATCTGCGGCTGCCAGAATCTCTCTTGGATGCCTCATGAAGGAGAGCCAGTATGATGACTGTACTGGAATGGCTTTGCAAAGGGGTCCAGATCCCCTTGTGCTGCACACACATGGCACCGTGGGAGCACAATTTGTTTCTGATCAGTGTTCTCAAAATGGAATAGTCTCAAAATTTCCAGTCTGTGAGAAATTTCATAATGACATTTCCCACAAGCTAAATGTCCTGGTTTTTGGCCAGCCCTACCCCTGCTACATTTACAAGGCAGGATATATGCTTTCGCTATATAATACAAACAGTCATCTGTATTCCTTGGCTGCAAATGGCAGTATTGTAAAGGAGCAAAGGACACTACAATGTTTTTGGAGAAGAATATGAATTACCTCTCAGCTTCAGAACAAAGCACAGAAGGACTCTTGAAAAGGGCAACAATCTGCAGAAGAGCATTCAAGGCAGGTCTCTGGACCTTTATAGTTTAACTTGGAGACTTCACATTTCTGAGAAAAAAAAGTCTCATTTGAATGTTATCATTGGCAAAACACTAAACTGCTTCTAGGATTTAAGCTGTTTACTTATTTAAGGGCAAGAAGCACAGACAAGAATTGTTACCTGAAAGCTAAGAATCCTAGAAGAAAGATGTGAAGTAGGAACAAAGCACTGATGAGTGCGTGAACAGTTCTGATACCAGCAAGGGTATGGGAAGGTCTCTACGAAGAACGCAGCTCTTGTACATTAACTCTGACAGACTGTTAAGTCTTCATAATGTCCTCAAAACAATAAATCAACAGAAGACAGATGTGTATTTTAGCAGGATGCTCAGAAGTGTCTGTTTGCCAATTCCCTAACCCAGAGCATGCCGAAACCAAGAAGGAGAACTTCAACTGATAAAAATTAACTTTGGATAGGGTCCCAACTGCCTCCTGTTCTAAAAAAAAAGGCATTACATACTTAGATCCAGGTGTCTTATTGCTTTGCTTCACAGGAGTCATCTATTATCATTGCAGTCCTTGAAATTAAAGTGGGATTTGAGTTGCTCGCATAGTTTGTTCCCTGAGGGTTCCCAAAATGAACTGAGAAGCAAATCTGAGTAATAAGCCCCAACTACATAGATGATAACTCTGGCCAGCTACAGTTACAACAGGGAAATGTAGTGGGAATGAACACGTCCGAAGGTTTATAACTGATGCAGACAGAAGGCAACGTTTATTTTTCCCCAAACATCAGCCCACTGGTGGACTCCACAGTCTTACAACAAGGTGATTTTCAGCAGGCTGCTGTCTGCGGGCACTGCAGGGTCGGCCCCAGGGAGTACCCTGCGCAGAGCTGGCACCCACGGAGATCCATGTCCAAAACGTGCTGGACGCTGACTGCGCAGACGTGGCCTTGTTCTCTTCAGCGTCAGCCCCCATTAAATCATTTCTGATCTTCTGAAATAACATCCAAAACGTCACTTTTGGGTTTATCTGATCATAAACGGTCAGTGAGGGAAGGAGCTTCCTTTGGTCTCCTGTTTGGACACGAAAGCCTGCGTCAGGAGGCGTTGGGGGTATCTGCAAGGGTCAAGGGAGCAGTAAATGAAGGGGCTCAACGGCGCCCGTGCCCCCAGTCCCAGAAGGGTGACAGTAACGGGGGCGCAAAAAGCCCATTAACTTTGGAAACGTCAAATGCCGCCAGTGGCCCCAGCCGCTCCCCGCCCCCCCCCCGCGGGTGCTGCTTTCCAGGATCTCGTGATTTTGGAAGCAGCCCCTCTCCCTGCAGCCGGGGAGGCCGTCCTCCTCCTGCCCGTCACAAAAATGGCGCCGGCTCCACGCACCCCGCGGTGGTCCCGATGTTGCCCGCAAACACCCCCACGACTCCTCCCCACCCCCTCCTCATTTGGGCGCGCGCCGGGCGGTCAGCACGGGGGCGGGGGCCTTTGCTCCCGTGCTCCGGGTCCCGCTCGCCCACAACAAAGATGGCGGCTGCGGCGCCACCCGGCTGGGTGGGGGCTTCGCCGGATCCTGCCGGCGGTCGGCGGCCGCATGAGGACGCGGCAGGCGCGGGCCGTAGGGGCCGCCCTGACGCCTGCACACGAGGGGCCGCCGCGACAGGCCGGCGTGTGGCGAGCCCGCCTGGTAAGGGACGCCAGGGCTGCGGAGCGGGCGTGGACCCGACCCCGGCCCTGGCGGGTGACTTCCCGCGTGTCGGGTCGATCGGTCGCTGAGGGGCGAGGCCGAGGCCTGGGAGACACCGTGCCCTTCCCACCCCGGTCGGGCCTTCTCCGCGGGCGGCCCGGCCCGGCGGTTTTTAGCACCACCAGGCCCTCCCACGGGTGAATATGATGGAGGCCGGGGGGGTGTAGAGGCCGCGCGGCCTGTGGCGCCGTGGCCAGGCCCGTGTTTGCGGCAGTAACACACCTGAGCGCACTGGCTGAAGCGGGTTGATCTGCTGCGAGATCCGCGAAGACCGATGTTTCTGGGGACACGGGGATGATCTGTGCTTCGCTTTTCTTGTGTGGAGACCGCCAAATGAATAGTTGTTTTGGGAACCACTGGTTATTTGAAAACGAAATCTCCCTTCACGTGGTAGAATTGAATCAAGCTGAAGCCCACCCAGCCTTTACTTAGTGTTCTTTAGTGCAGTTTGTAAACATCAGATCCTCCTCTTTTTGTAATAGGCTTCCTCGCACAAAGCAACTGGCCGACAGCCCTCAAAGAGGCTAAAACGTGAAAAGAGTAGTTTAGTAAAATCAGACTTACAGGACCTTGTGTCCAGAAGTGAAGGTATTCCCTTGGCAAGGGAACGGGCGGAAACATCTGATGAAGACGTGAAAGGCTCTGTCCGTGATCATCTGAGGCTAGAAAGCAAAGGCAATAATGGTCCAATGATTAATGAAGACATACAGGGGAACGGAAACCATGTTTCCATAAAACCCTCAGCACTGAAAGCAAGCAGCTGCCCACCCAAGACAGAAAGTGCTGAAACTCTTGTGCAGAATGAGGACCTCAGTGTGGACGAGGAGAGTAGCTGCGGGAGTGTGGAGTCAGCTGAATCCGAGTTAGAAGCTGCAGATCTTCAGAAGAAACCGTTACAACTGGATAATAATGCTTTTCTAGATGAAGATAGTAACCAGCCAATGCCAGTAGACCGATTTTTTGGAAATATCGAGTTCATACAGGTAGGAAGACACTATTGTCACTCTTTCCTTCTGGTCTCTCGATTTATTTTCCAGCTTTCGGTTCACATGTATTGGAATACAGAATGTTAGACTGGTGCCAAAACTTTAAGCAAATATAACCAATACTGGCAACCAATTAAAGAAGTATCCATGTCTTTAGGGTACAGCTGGCTGAAAAATTCTGAGGGGGCAGACTTATTGAAAACTGTGGCTTTATCTAAATCAATTTGCAAGAATGCATGTATTTTGATTAAACTTTCCATTGGGAGTAGGGAAGGCACAGTATTTGCTTAAAATATATCGGCTTGCTTCTGTAAGATTTTTTTTTTAAATAGCTTTTTGCTCTTGCAATTTTGAAGCGTAAAAGTCATGCATGGGCAATGAAGCTAATTTAAACTCATGGCAACAAGATCCTTCTAATGTATCCTAAACAAAATTCTCTGTTCTAT